TACTGGGACTGTTTTATTATGCCCACCTGAAATGGCACAGAATACCAAGGAAGCTTTCCAATTCTCCAGCCCTGGGGTGGGTTGGGGAGGGGAGGGGGAGAGAGAGAGAGAGAAGAAACCTGTCTAACACCGTACCATTTATTCCTCATAGCTTTAAGATGGAGCATGGGAAAAAGTGATGAGAATCACAGTGGGCTTTGCATGATTCAGCTTGTGTCTATTTTAGCTGGACAAAAGGACAAAACAGGTCAGTTCCCTGATTCTGAAGATATAAAATTCAATCAGTAACCAAGATCCCTCTTCAGCCTTGTGCATGAAATACATTCCTTCAGGGTAGAGAACAGCTGTTAAGAAAACAGTGCTGGTGACTGATTTTAGATGGTATACAACAATGTCACTCAACCTTGGCAACTTTAAGATAGGTAGACTTCAACTACCAGAAGTCCACCTATCGTAAAGTTGCCAAGGTTGAGAAATGCTGATATACAAGGTAGTAAGGTTAACAGAAGCTAAATGAGCTAGTAATTTCCCAGGTGACAAGGAACATATTATCAAAATTCAACCAAATTAAATATTAAAAGGTGGATGCATAAAAAATATTAGCCCAGAGCTGAAGAGCAGAAGCAGCCCTAAGGTGAGAGCAGTAATACTGGGGTGCCACCAAAAAATGGCCCACCTTTTTCTTTTTAAAGCTACGATGCCCCATTTCACATAGGTTTAAGGTGTAGGATAAAGGCAGTGACCATATAGAGGCTGACTGAAATGTACGCCTGGCTTGGGAGTGGGAATGAACCTAATGCTCAAAATTGCAGCACACAGATGTTGTGCTTAACACAAAAAGACCAGGCTTTCAAGAGGTCGAATTTCATACATTTTGGAGCGACTTACACCACTGCAAATAGTCCCCGGGTTAAGAATGATCAGTTCAAGGACAACCCATAGTTAAGAACAGAGTCTACTGCAGCAAAATTCAAGTGAAATACACAATGGTTTGAGTTCACTACTCAATGCTACTTATACAGTATTAGATAAATTCCACTTAAGGACAGACCTTGGGAACAGAACTTGTTCTTAGGCTGGGACCTACCTGCGCTTTACTGTATCGCAGAGTTTTTTATAATTGAAAAGCTGGGCTTCAGATAAATTTCACTTGCTACAAAACTATGGCACTTGATTAAAAAAAAAACACTCCAACCTCGTACTATTACATAAAATAACCCCCGGTATACACACCACAGAGCAACACAGATATCCACTCACCCACCCATCCACCTTCCACTTCAGGATGATTTACAGGATACTTAAGTATCTTGCCCTAGTTCTCACTCTGCACTAAGACATCATCTGCCTAACAATGATGTGCTGAAGAAAACAGAGTTGGCTGAATGCCACTTATTGCAATAAACCAGAAATCATAGTTTGCAAATGAGATGAATGCTCAGCCCCATCCGCCAACACAACCACCGAGATGTTAGTAACCAGCTTCTTGGAGGGGGGGCGCCAGAAGCCCAGGGACTTCCACGACACCCTTCAGCTTCCCGGCTGCGGACTCCGCTTCCCACCTGTTGAAGCAGCCTGAAGCCAGCAGACAGGTGGGGCAGCCGGGAACGTCAGCCTAGGGGGCCCTCTGGACCGGTGCCAGAAAGGAAATTAAGCCCGTCGCACCAGAGCCATCCTCAAATCTGAGAGGGCAGCGTCGGACTGTCCAGGACTTAACACCTCCTTCTGTAAAGGGGAAGAGCCCCGGGCCAGGCCGGCCACACCTCCGCCCCCCTCTCCTCATCGGCTGGTCCTTGTAATGCATTCTGACAACCCTGCTGAGGTCTCTGGGCTCCCGGTTGGGCAGGGGATCCGGGAGGGGCAGGGTGGGGGCCCAGCTCTCCCCCCCCCCGACGCCTGATGCGAGGGAAGCGGCCCAGCAGGTGCCTGCGGGCAACAGTTTTGTGTTACAGGCCTGAATGCGAGATCCCGGCAGGAGCCGCCGGCTGTTTTCCTTGCACACAGAAGGCAGTCAAAAGTCCACTGAGTGAACTTGAAATGACCCCAGCTGGAGAGTTGCTGGCGGGTTCACCGAGAGGGCAAGTTGCACTTTATTAAACAACTACTCCTCTTTAAGAGATAATCTTTGGGGGGGAAAGGGAAGCAAGGCGGGCGGGGTGCTCCCCAATCACCCCTAAAGGGCTCAGAAGATGCTGCGAGAGAGACCGCTTTGACAACTGCCACGCACCTGACCGCTCAGCGCAGGCCGTTCGGAACATCTTTGCTGCAGTCAGGTCCCATCACGGCTGGGAAGGAAAAGGCTCCTCACATCTCAGAAAGCCAACCATTAAACCAGCTTTATGCTCCCCTTCATGCCGGGCTGATCTGCAGTCAGGCAACACAGAGGATGGGGTCATGCGCAGGGGGCCCAGAGGAACCATTCAGAGGAAATGTGGTAGCCCTGGCCGGGACTCAACCCAACAAGGGAAAGTGCAGGTCAGTAAGAATCTGGTAAAGGGTCTTCTAGCTAATTTGAATGTCTTCGAATCCCCAGGCCCTGATGAAATGCGGCCTAGATTTCTGAAGGAGCTGACGGAAGAGAGCCCCAAAGAGGCAGGGAGGTGCCAAAGAGGAAATGTGGTCCCCGTCTTCAAGAAAGGCAAAAAAGAGGGGTCCAATAATTACCCACCAGTGAGCCTAACGTCAAAACCTGAACCCTACTAGAATAGATAATAAACCAGGCCCTTGAAGACAAAGCTGTGTTTGCTAAGAATCAGCGTGGCTTTCTCAAAATAGGCTATGTGAAACAAGTTTTGTCTCCTTTGACAGGGTACCTACTTTAGTGGAGAAGGGGAATGCAGTGAATATAGTATATCTTGATTTTGGCAAAGCTCTGGATAAGGCTGCACAGGATGTTCTTACGGATGAGCTATTAAGGGGTGGCTTGGATGACACTACCAGAAGGCGGGTCCACAAGGGGTTGGCTAATAGCACTCAGAGTATCAGCACAAATGCTCTACAATGAGCCACAGAAAAGAATAACCAGCAGGGTCCTCCAATACTGCCTTGGGGCTAGTATTATTCAACATTTTTATTAATGACTGGGATAACCGGATAGATGGGCCATTTATCAAATGTGTGGGTGATGCAAACTGAGATATCTGGCCAACCTTCAAGAAGACAGAATAAGATTGCAATCTACTTGCAATCTGGACAGGCTGGAAGACTGGGTTGAGAAAACCAGATGCCCTCTAACTCAGAGAAAAGCAAGGTGTTGCCTTTAGGGAGGAAAAATGTAGGATACAGACACAAGATGGGAAATTCAGGGTTGGAAGCATCAGGCTGGAGGACCTGGGTGAGGTCATCAGCACCAACCTCAACATGGGCCAGGAGTGTGAGGCAGCAACTAAGGGCTAACAGAGTTCTGGCTCATTAGAAGAAGCATCATATTATAGACCTGTCTGTACTCCCCTCTGCTCTGTACAAGTGAGATCACACCTGGAGTCTGGGGTATGACTCTGGGCACAACATTTCCAGAAGGGTACTGCCTGGTTAAAAAATGATACTTGAGGATATGTTGAAGGAACTTGCGATGTTCCATCTGGACAACAGAACAGATGTGATTTCAGTGCTCAGGTACCCAAAAAAGGGCGTTAAGGAAGATAGTCAGGAACTAATTTCCAGTGCCACAAGAAGTAACA